TTTTTATTCTAAAGGTCAGCCTTACTATAATATAATACTCTTCTATTATTTAAGAAAAGGGGAGATTGTTACCATATTTCATATTTGGTCAGATGGTCTGAGTTGGTGCCATCAATCCTTTGTACCCACCTTGAAGCTGTATTAACACTGTGCAGAGTATGGACAGCATGACTCGGGCGGTTCGCAGAGGCATATGAACATGGGGTGAAAAAAGTTATTGAAAAAACTCAATAAGGTTTCTGCACTCTGCTTCCAGATGAGGACCGTCTGTCCAAGAGAAAGAGCATCGGTGAGACCATCTCACTTCAGGTGGAGGTTGAGTCCCGAAATAGCCCAGAGAAGGAAGAGGTGAAAAAAAAGACTTCACAACCTTGTACCCTGTACCCTCAAATGTACCCTGTACAAAGATATTTAACATAGATTCTTGTTCTGGTCTGCAGAGGACTCCAGCAGAGGAGATCACATTTGAAACCCTGAAAAATGCCATTGGTAAATCCACTCTCTTCATTTGCAAAGCCCTTTTTATTAGTTTACAATGATGGATTGATGTTCTAAATGTTGACGTAATTTACCAAAGCATGACAGCAGGGAACAAATACAAACTACTTTTGTATAAAGTGTCCGTGAACTTTGTCTTGATGTTTTCACTTTGAGGCACACGCTACATTATATTGCTTTTTGTCTCCCTCTAGTGGACAGTGTGGGTATGGAGGAGCAGGAGAGGGAGCGGAGGAGACAAGTGGTGGAGAAGTTCCAGAAGGCCCCCTTTGAGGAGATAGCTGCCCACTGTGGTGCCAGGGTATAGACCCCTACCCTGTTGAAAAATTAAAAAAAAAAACTGCTTGTGTGTGTGTGTGGGTTGTTTTTTTTTTTTTTAAAGAAGGTCTTAAATGTATTGTTTTTGATGTCTTCTGTCCCTTATAGGCCACACAACTGCAGAGCAAACTAAATCAAATCTTTGAGATCACAATCAGGTAAGGGACAGAGCTTTGGGATGGGAGTAGTCAATAATAATATGGATGGCAGTCATTCTGACTAACAGGAGAATACCTGCATTTTGATGTTTTGGAACTAACAGCTTTGTTTTCTTCCTCTTTCTGTTCAGACCCCCTCCCAGCCCATCTGGAACCATTTCATCAGGTTACGGCCAAAGCCAGAGTCGATCTGTACCCATTTACGAGATGAAGTTTCCTGACCTATGTGTTTACTAAATCACAAAGTCTTCAGCAACGTAAGCGTACAGTAGAGCCTTCAAGGACAGAGAAAAGATTTGAAAGGGCAACCGATCCTCACTGTAAAATCGTCTTGACCGTGGAATCAAACAGCCACAGTGCACGTGGGACAAACTCAGCTGTAACTAAAGAACACCTCTTAGCTGTCTGAGATTTTATTTTAGCCTCTGATTGCAACAAAAACAAGCTCACCAGTGTCTATATTGAGCAGGAAAACAAACGTATTTCACTCACTTCTACTGCATCAGTTACTCATCCCTAGAGACTGGTTAGGGACCCCTGGCAGCCAGCGGCCTATTGGGAATGATATGCAATCCCCGATCGGTTGGCGAGTGGTTGCTGGAAATTGATGGCACTTGCCTGGTGAAATTGGTTGCAAAGTTCACCTTCTAATAAAAGTTGTGCCTAATTGCTGAAGCCAACATGTCTCAAAAGGTGCAGCTTTTACTTTGAAGACAATTTCATAGCTGCTCAGTAAGTAGTTGGCGAGTGTTTGCAGATAAGCTGGTGTCTTCTGTGCAAACTAAAGACAACCTCCTGCATCTGCCACCAACTACTTGCTGGCAGTTTGCTGGCATATTCATGTCTCTAGATGGTCTCAAGATGGTCTCCAGGTGGTCTCCAACCAGTCTCTAGGCCTGTGTGACTGGGGACTGGGATGTCTGTAGAAACTCCACTGGTTGGATTTTCAAATTAGAAATTGTCAAGAACTGTGAGGGGAAAACTTGACCGACTGGATGTTATTTATTGTCTTGAGAATGAGTTGAGTAGTCGCATGCCTGCGACTGGAAACTTTTTGATAGCACTATTATTCTTGTGCATTTTTTTTTAACTTGTTTGTCCCTTCCAGGGTGCCATACTACCTTTGATCACAAAATTAGATTGCTAGACTGCTTATTAATATTATTATTATTTTTTATTTTTTTTTAATTGTTTTGATGACCAGAAAGAGTGTTTGTGGAAACTGAAACATTTTAATTTACTTGATTGTATTTGTGTGTATGTCTGATTGTTGTATAGACATAAAGGTAATTATCCTCATCTCCCATGCCACTTAGCTGCTGAGCATCCATCTTTTAGGCTTTATTGTAGCTTGGTTTTGCCTTCTTAGTGTTACCCAGAAGTGCTTTTTCGCCTCTTTCTGTTTCTTTTACCTAAATATTAATCTATTTAGTTAAAACACATTGCACCAGTCATGACCACACTAAAGGATTTACAGCAATGTTTACCAGATCAAATGCTAAAAAAACGTTTATTTTTCTCCCCTTTCCATATAAATGTGTACATACAGAGGAATATATAAATCTTTAAGCTGATGTACAGCATAAGGATGTTAATGTGCGTGTGTATATATACTGTATATTCTAATTTTAGACTGCCTCTGCACTGGTTGTGTTCATAGATAAAAGAGAAATCTACGTAGTATTCAGATAGACAATGTTAAAATCTCCAATAGGTAACCAGCAGCACGTGAAATCCTAACATCTGAGCAGCCCACAGGAGAAATTTGCATCATCTCAAGGCCAGTATGTCACAGCGACTAATAAAGGGTTACCGAGGCAATGCTGGAAAAAGATCATTTTCAGCTTTACTCAAACAGGTTTCATTACCATAACCCTGACCTGCATTGTTACCATTTACATTCTCACTCCTGCTGGAATGAGTTTGCACTATGATTTTTTTTACTATACCGCAGCTTTTTCAGCTGCATGTCTCAGCAAGATTCAAAAACATCTAAAAGCCCAGTGTGTGCACAAACACACACACACAGGTATAACAACAAGTATGATGGCAATAATTTGTCAAGAGTCTGGCTAACACGGTCCAACTGTAGGTAGCAGATCATGTTTGTGCGTTTTTGAATTGTGCCTGCTGTTGTTGTGGTGCTGTGATGGTTCAGTTTTGTGACATTTTTAAGTGACCGCCCCTCACTCTCTCTCCCTCTGTGCTGCTTCTGTGAGTGAACCACACCCGTTCCAGCCGTTTTGCAACCATCTTGTTCAGGACAGAAGACGGTGTCTAGTTCATCACTATCATGAGCATTTCCACTGGCTCTTCTTTTGTTTTTTCTGTTTTTAAATGTCATGTCCTGTGTATATCCGTGTCAGCACATGCCAGTGTATGTGATCGTCTGTTCACGTTTACCCCTTTTTGATCAGTGCGCGAGTGAGCGTATTTATGTGTCTGTGCTAACGCTCGTACAGGTGTGTGCGTGTCTGTGTCATCATTACCGAAGACCAAGCTCTCCAGACGTAGTTTACAGTTCTGTCCAGTGACTCTTTCCACCACGTTAATGCAGAAAAAGCTACTTAAGAGCCGTGTGCAGCTGTCTAAACCTTCCAGTTACACCTTGTAAAATTGTGTTTTCAGCATCTTGAACTTGGCAGTGAAGACCTGTAAATCTATCAGTCCGCGTGTCGTCATTGCATCGCGTAATGTAATATTAACTGACGGTAATCCAAACTTACTTTTTGTCATTACATGTCTGGTTAATAGCTCTGTTTTACAATTTAGTGCTGTAGGTCAAATCTGTTCTGTGAACTTTGCACTTTAAAAACTGGAATACCTAGTGAGAAAGGCAGCTTTTACATGGAGAAAATGCCTTATGCGTGTCATACCTGACTTTGCATGCTAGTGGATGTTACCGTGTTGTAGAATAAATTTATCTCTAACCATGAAAAGTCTGTCCTCGTTTTAATTTGCCTGCTAATGGAAACTCTCTGAGACGAAGAAGGGGATCATCGTTTGGTAAAAACCACGTCGACTCATTAAATCCGGCACCACTGTTCACCGAGTCGCAGTGTTCAAAGTAATGTTTAATTCAATTACCTCCTGTTGAGGTCATCTGAGTACGTGATCCATCTCCCAGCACATGAGTAGCACATTTTTCCTATAGTGTAGCATTTTCAAGGATCTGAACTCACAAGCTCAAATTCACGTCACACTATTATGTATTCTGAGCCTGATGTCACAGTCGGCTATGAAATTAAACGGTCTGAGAATTAAGAATTAATTAAGCAGCTGAAGCTCAGAGTAGTGCTGATTTTCTGTGGTTATACTTCAGGTCCAGTGGGTGGCAGTCTAAGTCTGGCTGCATTTTCATTAAACTTATGCACAATCATTCATGGACTCTTTAAGTCCTATAAAAATAAGAAATTATTTATCTCATTCTATTATAATGGTTTAATGCAGATGGTATGAAGGATTTCATGCATCCATACTGGTGACAGTGGAGCTGAATGAGTCTGGTAGAGAAGGTGCTCCACTGCTGTCCAGTAAAATAAAGGATACTCCACCATACCCACAAGTTTAAAAGAAACTCAAACTCACCTTGTTGTTAAAAACGTTTAAATCCTTTTTCTTGTATTTTATCAGTCTTAATATTCAGAATTTTGTCCATTCCCCTTCCCCTAAATCCTCAGATTTGTCTAAAGACACAGTACTGGGTAAAAGTATTGAGTCACCCCTCGTGTCTTCATAGTTTATTTGTTTGTTTGTTTCTTTTTAAGTGACCTTGAGCAACATTTCTCCAGGCGTTCAGATCTTATTTATTTATTTATTTATTATGTTTTCCTTGTTAAATTGGGTTCCAGTTAGTTCAATGCATTAAAAATGCCCTATAATGCAGTTTGACAGACATAACAACTCACACTTGATGAGAGCTCACAACTTGTCAGCTCTCATCAAGGTTTTGCTTAATAAATGACCTTAGGCAGAAGATTCCATGTATTATTTGCCACAAACAGGATCTTTAATATTATTTTTTATTTACATAAAGACATGACTTTTTAAAAACTGTCTCAATAATTTATTTCCTTACAGTCACCTTTGACCTCGCTGTGAAGGTCACTGTTCAGCTTGATTCTTCATAAAGTTAAGATGAGTATGCTCTCAGAATGCTTTGGATTCGAGGCCAAGAAGTTGAAGGCAGTCAGTGGGTGCGTCAGTGAAAGACATTCAATAACATGCTAAAAGATAGCAACGAGTTTGTGTAATTTAAAATTAAGACATGTGGTTACTAACATGCAATGGCTATTTGACTCTCTGACCTATCCGCCTCCCCTGCTGAATCTTCCATTTATCCCATTATTCTCTTCACATCTTTAAAATGTTCCTGAAGAACTTGGCCAGCTGCCCCTGAGGTTTCTCCTCCCACGGCTTCATAAAGCCGCCGTTACGTTTGGATGCAGGTGGGCTGCCCCATCTGAAGTGACTCATCTTATAGGTCCTATCTTTCCTCTCCTGCAAGCTCAAGGGGCTTTGTGATTTGGAGCTGTCCCTGGCCCTCAGCAATCCCTGATTTTCATTACTTCCTCCATCAATGTCCCCCTCCGCTTCATCTTCGCTACTGCTCAGCTGTCTGCGAGCCTGAAAGGGAAAACGGCCCTCAGAGGAGCTTCCTCCTTCCAGAGAAGAGGCAAAGACTTTAACAGGTCGGCGTTTACGGCCCGAGGGCTTCCCCCAGCGGAAGTGCTCCATTGAATAGGAGCGTCTCTCGTCACTGCGGGCCTTCAGCTTTGGCTCTCGCATCTTAAGTCCTGCTGGTTTGCCCCAGCGGAAGTGCTCCATTCTGTAGGAGCGCCGCTCGTCGCTGCGGGCTTTCAGATCTGACTCGGATATTTTGTCACGGGAAGCCAGTGTGGCTAGAATAACGCTGAGTAAGAGGTCATCATCATAATCATCACCACCACCATCACCAGCATCAGCATCACTGTCAACTTTCAGGGCCAATGCACTGAGCTCTGGGATTTCAGTCTGGATCACAGACATGCAGAGGTGAACACAGTCCTGTGTGGAAGAAATGGCAAAGATAATGTCATACAGAGCAGGAAGACTTGAAGTTCCCTGACCGCTGCTGGTGAAGTCATAAGACTTGGCATGATAGGAAAAAATCCCCAAAACCAACAACAAACAAACAAACAAAAATCCCCTTTATTGCTTACGGGTGTTAAAAATTACAGATGGCTTTTCTAGGTTTTAAATTTAGTGTTGCATTGATAAAATAACTGCAGCTTGTTCTGTATCCAAACACACCCACTTAAGGCTATTATCACATGGACAACTCAAGAAACAAGAAATTACATTTAAGGACTGTGTTGACTCATCTTTTCAGCTTTCACATCAACTTATTTGTCAAAGAATGAAATTGTTCACTATCACCACAGATCTCCTGGCTTTGCCGGGGGAAAAGGAAGTAATGTTATATGCTCTGAGTTTTAAGTTTCCATTTTCTAAGTACTTCTATGTACTCATCACCTTGACACTAACAAAAAAAAAAAAAGATTAGTGGAAGCGATAATTTTGATTAAATGTAAGGTTTTCTTACATTTAATTTGACCAGATTCCATTAAATATGTTTTACATTGCACTTACGGATGAGATGAAAATGTGCAACATAGGGCTCCGATAAGTTTTCTTGGCCAGTGATGACGATCTAAAAGAAGAGGCAGGGCTGTTCGACCTACCAGTATCCTCGCCTTGTTGCTCAGGTCCTTGCAGATGGAGTTGTCCCAGCATACTGACTCAAACCCGGGGATGCACACAAATGCCATCACCGCCACCAACAACCAGCACTGGCACACCATCTTCAGCCCGGTGCACAGGACACCAACTCGACTGGGGTGGAGCTGCAGAAGTGAAGCCACAGTGGGGAAAGCTTTGAGTCTCAGCAGACAAAAATATTCATTAGTCATCTTGAAATGTTATTTTGTGAAGAAATACAGTAGGTGTCTCTTAATAATTGTGCTTGCGTAACACTTTCCGCCCGTCCTTATGTAACGTGACGTGTTTGAACACTACCTTCGAAATAGCCAGAGAGCCGAGCTTTTGTAGCTGGTGTGTCATGAACTTAAACACGTGAACTTAAACAACAATGTTCTCTTTTTGGTGTTTGTTTATTAGGAGCACATGCATTTTATTTCGAAGGTGTCAAACATGTGGCAGTATTTTTATTTTTCAAAGGATGAACCTTCAGCACCGAGGACTGTGTCAAAATGATCAGCAGGACTGATGAGGTTCAAAACAGAGGAGGGACAGGGCAGGGTCTTCTGTTCCTTTGATGGGTTAATTTCATGTGAGATTTAGACTGAAAATATATGAAGATAATAGATTTGAAGATTTTTTTTAAAATGATGATTTAATTTACCTACACCTAAGGCCCTGTATGAAAAAGTAATTGCTCCTAATCTTACTAACTGGTGTAACACCCTTGGCAGCAAGCGAAGCATGAACTAGCAACGAGCCTTTCACGTCACTGTGGAGGAATTTTGGTCCACTCTTCTTTGCAGAATTGTTTTAAATCAGACACATTAGAGGGTTTGCCTGAACAGTCTTTTTAAAGTCATGCCAAAGCATCTTAGTCTGATTTAAGTCCAGGCGCCGACTAGGCCACCCCCAAACCCTTCCTTTAGGTTTTTTTCAGAGGTGGACTTGCTTGTGTGTTTAACTCAAGTGTGGTTGGGCTTCAAGACATGAACTGATGGCCTGACATTCACCTTCAGGATTTTATGTTCGGGAAGCAGAATTCATGGTTCTATCAATTTTCCAGATCCCGAAGCAGCAAAAACCATCACGCTACCACCACCATGTTTGTCTGTTGATATGATTTTCTTTTTATTTAAAGTTGTGTTAGTTTTACATCGCACATAACAGGACTCTAACCTTCCAAAAAAAAAAAAAAAGTATTTTCAGTCCACAAAATATTTTCCCAGAATTCTTTGGGATCACAATGCATTTTTATATTAATGTGGGTTATATTTGTCCAATATTTAAAAAAAATATGTGATGTTGTGAAAGTGTGACAAATATGCAAAAACAGAAAAATGAATGAAAACGAAATCAGGCAGGGGGGCAAATACTTTTTCACAGCACTGTGCACTGTTCTCTGTGTGCAGAGAGCAACCAGCTGGGATCCTGATGTCACTGTCTACCGCAGCAAGGCTGTGTTATTCTACTGCCAATAAATTTAAGCTTCCTTTTTTGAAAACGCAAGGAACTATGAAGCAACTTTTGTCTTTCAGCAGCAGGACTGCAATGTTTTTTTCAGTCTTGACTAATTGAAGACAGATGTAGCTACTTTGACATCACCCAATGGGTTGTGGAGTTCTGCTTTGAAGCTTTCAGATGAACATTTTTTCTGTCATCATCTTAGTTTTGAAATCGGACGCAATAAATAAAAGTGGATTTGACCAAACTGCATGCTAAGACATTAGGGAGCTGTTTGTCTTTCTTTCTTTCTCTCAGCCTGTTGCAGCATACAGACTATAACTGGGTTGGGAGAATAGAGAGAACAGTATTGCTGCTTGTGTTCAGGGACAGCCAATGGAACTGTTAATAATTCTGATAAAGGACATCCTTTCAGACATAAATTTCTAGCAGGGATTTCACAATAGACCCTAAAATTCTTTCATTTTCTGAGCTCAGAGTTGTTTTCTTGCCTGGAAACCAAGCAGGAAAAAATGAATCTAATTGTCTCAATAAAACTTAACAGAAATACACAACAATGACAACAATAAGTACTTTTTGAAGTGTGCTACTTAATTGAATATGAACAATTTGGTTATTCAAGTCATGAGGATGAATATCCCCTCATGCTTCTTATTGCGTTTTCTCTTTTCTATACTCTCCTATTTCCAATCAGTCTCGAGGACAGCTTTCTTATTATAAAAAGGTAATATGTATAATATGAAACCGAAGCGCAGTATATAAACCCCATGTTCACTGCTTTTGGTTAAATCCGACACACTGCCAGTCATCTGATGCTTCACAGATGTTGAGAAAAATCCCGTCTCACTTGTCAAACTTTTCCCTGGGCGTGTTAACCGTTTAAAGATGTAAACAATCTTTTTTCTTTTCTTTGCCGGGGTATTGGATTTTTCTCGCTTCCTCCTTCACTATTCTAAAGAGTGAGTCCTCGGTGAGCCATTGTCTTTGCGAGTCTGGCAGAGACTCGTCTTCCTACTGAATGACTCACAGCTGAGCTGCGCTCTCCACGGACAGACTCCGATAAAAGAGGCATGAGCGCTGCAATCAAAATAAATTCAAAATTGTACGTGTGAAATGATTTCTACTGTTTTGTAAGTTAGATCACCTTTTGTTTACATTAAAGGAAAGCTGAATTCATCATAACTATGTATCCTTTGCTGCAAGAACATCATATAAAATAGTAGAAATTCCCAAATCCATGAATAAGGGAGTTTAGCAAATAAGTTAATTTGAGCTCATCCAACAAGTCACGCCAAACAAGCAAGTTTAAAAAAACAAATCCTATAAATATATTTGTTACCTTTTTCAGATGCTTTCTCTCCTCTTGCTTTTGTCACTCCTTTTGTCCACAGATCCTCCAGACTGGTGACTCTAAACTGTGGTCCCTCTCCTCCTCTCCTGCTTTCTCTCTGCTCTTTGAGAAATGCTCAGTAGGAGAGGGTCTGCTGTTGCTTCCTTAAGGGAGGAAAGCTCTTTTTATAGACATGTGAAGTAAAGCGTCTCAAGGCCTCGGGGTGTGATTGAGGTAAAGGGTCTCCTGCTCCTTCTCTTGATGGGGAGGAGTCGTGCATTCGTGGAGTTTTGCGTATGGTATGTTTAAAGGCTTCCCACACACTTTTTAATCAATAGCACGGCTGGCTTCATCAGCCGGGTGATGAGGCTGTGGTTAACTGGTTAACTTCCCCCCCCTCTTTGTAATCCTCCTCTGATTGCGACACGGTCTTGAAACCCTATAAGTATCCTGGATTTCTTGAAAGCATGTTTACGTTATCGTATACTGATTAAAAAGAAACACAACTGCTGTTCATTAGCGGACCCATGTCCACGCTTTAAATCCCTCAAAGGTCAGCTCTAATCACTGACATCATTATCCTCTGAGCAACAGTGAAGGGTGCCAATCGATTTGACTGATTGGATCGTTTCTCTGTGGTTCTCGTTTTGACAAGGTGTGCATGTATCCCTGCGTGAAAACTTCATTATAAGGACCTGACTCACTGTTTGGACGTCATGAGTGGACCTCAAGTGCGGATGATACACACAAATAAAGAAATAAACACACGTGGTGCTTTTAAAACGGAAATATTGTGCAGCTGAAGCTTTAGTGCCAGTGCCAAACACATTCTGCCGCTCGTTTGCTGCAGGGTTAGGTGCACAAGGACAAGTCACACAGAACAGCACGAGTGGAGAACAAGCACCCATTGTAAGAGATATAGAACACTTTCCTTTCATAAACCGGCCTATCTCCAGCTATTTGTTATCATTTTATAGCTGAAAGGACACAGTGAGTGAAAAATGAGACAGAAGATGCTCATATGATTTTAAAAAAAGGTCTATTGTATTGAATTACAGGTGCATGTGGGTCAGGTTGCTGTGCTCAAAGTCAGAGATATGTGCCTGAATTGACCGTATTGAGGATACCTCCTCTGACTGCCATTATACAAAGCAAGAGTAGAAAAAAAATGCACATATCGTGACCTAATTATGTCTTTGGCTATTCTTAATATAAGCATCCACAATCTGCCCCCTTCAACTACTCATCAATAAGCAACAGTCTTTTCTGACTACCTGCAAACATGTGAACTATTACTTTATGATACAGTTAAAACAGAAAAATCAGCCCAAATGACCTTAAAATGATACGCTATTGTCTTATGTTGACTACCTAGTAAGTAAGTTTTGCCACCTTTTCATTGGAGGTTCATCAGATATACCTGTTCACCTTCTCGTTGACACAAATATCTAATGAGCGATGCACATACAAAGATGTGTTGTGTTACGTGTCATGCATTCATGTCAGACACCACCAGTCTGAACTGATTCCGGGCAGGATGGATCCATGTGTTCATGTTGTTTACACCGATTTGTGACCAAAACTTTCAAATGTTGCAGCAGAAGCTGAGACTCATGACACCAGAAAACATTTTTCCTATTTTCTATTGTTCAGTTTTAGTGAGCACGTGTGAGTTGTAGCCTTAATTCCCGCTGTTAGCTAACAGGAGAGGAGAGGTATGGCCATTCTCCTCTTACCTCTGGCATCATTTTCACCCAAAGAACCACAGCTCGCTGGATATTTTCTCTTTTTTGGCCATTCTCTGTAAACCCTAGCAGCCTGCCCATCACCAAAAACCATGCCACATTCAAAGTCACTTAAATCCCCTTTTATGCAGATTCTTAGTTTGCTTAGTTTGAACTTCAGTAGCTCGTCTTGATCATCTCTGCATGCATAAATGCAAAGATTTGCTGCCATGTGACTGGTAGATTAGATATATGCATGAACAAACTGCTAATAACGTGGTTGGTAAACATATATACCAACTAAACCCAAAATTGTGAGACTGCTTGTGAAGATATTTTAGCATCTGTTTTGAATTTAATCTTTTTTTTCACGGAGAATAGTTCATTCTCTCCCTGCCCCTCACTTTCTGAAAATCATCCAAAGAGCTTCGTGTCATGTCAGGAATTCCTGGCTTTCTCTGTTGTCACATGTTAAATAGGGCTGAAGTGACTGTGTAGAAAAGTCATTCAGAGTCAGCGCTTCTTGGTCTGCTTTGTTTTTCTCATATTGCCAGTAAAGCTTTGAAGCTTCTAATGATGCAGTTGATCCGATGGAGTTTTCCAACTCTGGAGAAGCAAAACACCCCCAGACATGAATCTTCCCACCTCGGTGCTTCACTGTGGGTTTGATACACTGTGGTGTCATTATTTCTCCTGCTCATCTCCTTTACATACTATTTTCTGATACTCCCACTAATCTCCTAATGGATTGATCAGCAAATAGCTAAATTTTCCATCCTTTACTGTGAAATACGAGGACACACCGACACTGAAACTGCAGTCTTCTTGTGAAAGAACCTCTGCTGATTGCAGTCTTGCTTTCTTTATTTAGAAAATTTTGTAGCTTCAGTCTCTAGGACCACAGTGTATTGATCTTCCCTTTGGGTCCGCCTGGACGTGCTTTGACCACAGCTTATCCCGTTTTCACAAAGTGTTTTAGCGAGCCATGCACTGCCACACTTGGAAAATAGAAAATTTGATCAGTAACAAACAGAAAAACAAAGAAATTATTACAGTAATCATATTAAAGCTTTGGGTGAATTGTGAATTAAGCATAAAATTAAAAATGCTGATTATTTAACCACTTATACAAGAATCAATCTTTAAAATATTTTAGCCCCCTCAGATAAACCTTTAAATACTCTAATATTGCATTAATACGCCTAAATGTAAAATCAATATCTCTACTTTATATACAGCATTTTCACACAAAATATTACCTCTGTTTTTAGGTAATGATGCTTAGTTTCTATGAATATCACCAATACACACCAAAGGCTGAAAGGCTACTAGTTACTTAGATGAATGTGTTTCCTGGCAGCCTTTAGTTACATCACAAATCCCGGTCATCACTGTTGGCAGGAAGAGAAAAAGATAAAACCTTCCAGATCACAACTCTCCTGAACCGCCTAAGGCTCGGATAATCATCAGTGATAAGGAAGTATAACTCTTTGGTTATATTTAGGGGTATGATGTTTGTAGCTTGAAGGCGAGACAGGAAGTGGCATTCTGAAGTGGGAGCTATTCTCTCCTCTCTCCGCAGTTTTAACCTGCTTAACCTCCATGTGGCCCTGCTCTGCAGGTGGTGTTTGTTCTGGACAGCGCCTGCTTGTGAATTTGAGTCATTACTGGATGCGAATGCTAAAACAAAAAGGACATGCTTGCTAAGCCTCCTCTTCAGTGGAGAAATAAAGGTTATAACAAACAGAGATGATGCATTCCTACAGCACTTAGGAGTGTAATTCAGCTCCCCGCTGATGTTGATTGCTTCCACTATTTAATAACACTGCAACCCCAAGGCAGGTCTGTGCAGGATGTGAATCACCACCAAATAATAACTCTGTCTAAACACCTACCATTTAAGTATTATCATCTCATTAATCCGTTTTAGGTTTTAGAAGTGTTACAGATGATGGTGGAGAAGAAACATGACTTGTTCCTTCATTAAACTGTACAGCTTCACAGTGAATGAGTGTTCATAACCAGCATATATGAGTGATGTCATGCACATTATTTAAAGTGTCCACACACTAATTCAGTATATGTGTAGTATTTCAGCTATTTTTAGGAATGTACTCTAGTCAGTCTCCCACTCATGATATAGCATCAGCAGCATCTGTCTCCTCCTGTGGCCCCCTGCTTATTGCCGTTGGGTTTCTAATGGCTAGTGGGCATTAGTTACATGGATCTGATTTTTACCATTGAGTTGGTTTCTAAGCACCTGTCCTTTGCAATGTAGGATCATTTTATTGCAATGAGAATAGTTATTGCTTTAGTGGATTCCTAAATATAATTACAGTCATCGTGAGTACTATAAGGATATAGGTTTATTATTTTGACAGAAAACCTGACCCTGTTTGCAAGATACGGTACTGCGTCTTAAACTACCCATCATTTCTTTGTATTTTTGCAAGGAAAATGGGAGGCTGGTGTGAAAGTTTAGGCTTCATTTTTGGATCAAGGCTTTCTGTTTAGACAAATTCTAGCCACTTCAGTAATGATGAGGTCCAGATTCTGAGGAGGCTACTCCACAATTTACTTCTTCTTCTGTCTTCCACCTGCAGAGTTTCCTCTGTTATTTTAAGGACATGCTGCACACCATGTCATGGTCCGGTTGAGTGGCTGTGTGTTTCCTCCAGGCTCTGGTCTCTGCCCTTGAGTGGAGCCTCTTCAGCCTTTTCATTGCCTACACCTGCTACTAATCTCCGTGGCTGGGAGATTACAGGGACGTAATTTCCAGGGAGGTTAGGGGGGTTATGACCATCCCCAATAATCAGACCCAACCAATATAACCCCCACAATAAAATTAGGAATTATCTTGCATAATTAGTCTGTTGATTTTCTTTACTCATTTCAGGTATTACCAGCAAAATAGTTGCCTGTTTAATAATCTGGGAATTTACCCAGATTTATTTATTTAGACAGAGATCTTGACCCCCCCCAATGTTCAGCACAAAGTTGCGCCGATGGCTGTATATATGACCAGTGCTCTTCGCCAGATTGTCTGCTAACCTTCGTTAGTCCCGGCGGCTAACTAATGTCTAATCTAGTGTCTAGTCAAGTCTTGTATTAGGGCTTTTCGACATAACGATATATATCCAGTGTTGGGAAGGTTACTTTTAAAATGTATTCCATTACAGAATACAGAATACATGCCCCAAAATGTATTCTGTACCGTATTCCGTTACGTTACTCAATGACAGTAACGTATTCTGAATACTTTGGATTACTTAATATATTATCATGCTTTTTACAACTACGTGAATGTACTATTGCTGTGTGATTTATTACTGTTACTGAAGGTCCGCGACTCCGAACTGTAGTAAAGGGACCTCTGGCTAATACGGCGGGGTCCCTGTCGGCTTGTAGCCGAAAAATAGCTTTACTTTGTTGTGTGGGTCAACTTTTCTTGCGAGAGACAGAGAGAGGCGTTGAAAGACTGCTCCAACGGAACTTATTGTTTTCGGAGGAAAACACGAACACAGCATACAGTCGAGTTTTAATAGCTTACTTACAACTGGGCTCGTCAGGCACTCTTCTTGGCTGAAGTGGTTATTATTATATTTATATGCTTCCAGCTCCCGTTTGTCCTCGATGACATCTCGTACCTTTCCACTCCCCCTTTTCTCCCTCCTCGCGCTCACGCACCCATAACGTGTATGGCAGTCCATTCTCCCTGCAACACGGACTACACTGCCCATGATGCTACCTTCTTTAGGGCTATGCTTTTAGCATTCTGCCTGTTATATCACAACAACAACAACAACGAAAAGGCGCTCTCTCACCCAGGAAGCACACAGTCGCAGAGAGAGAGCGTCGCCCTGTAACCATGGCAACCGTAACGCTGCCGCCTGGAACAACAGAACGTAGCTGTCAAACAAAACCCAAACAGTCCTGACCCGCGACAATATGAAACAGGAAAGTACCGCAGTGTAATCCATTTATTTCAACAAAGTAACTGTATTCTGAATACCACCTTTTTAAACGGTAACTGTAACGGAATACAGTTACTCATATTTTGTATTTTAAATACGTAACGGCGGTACATGTATTCCGTTACTCCCCAACACTGTATATATCAGATGACAATATAAAAACATCTATCGTTTCATTTTACGCTATCATTTGTTTCGTGGTGTCGCAAAATAAACTGTTTACGGCAATATTTTTTATCGTTTTGATGGTCACTGTAGTGGCTATATTAATTTCTTAAAGTTCTCTCTTTCTCTTATATTTAATATAACCACACTACAGACGGACAAGCGCCTGTTCTCATGCGTTGTTGTTAGCAACAATGACGCTGAAACCATCACGTGTCCGCTTGTTTATTTTCCACATAAACCTTTCACAATAAAGCTCAAGATCCTGTTGAGACTTTTCAAAATAAACTGAATCCCGTGAAAGAATATGCAGAGTATTTACGGATGAGAAGCAAAAAAAGAGCTGTAAGGTGCTAAAAAATAAACCTTAGACTCAAACGTTAGAACAGGCTTCGGTGCCCCGGAGGCGTCCTCGTCAACCGACCAACCGGTGCGATGAGCCTGGCCACGTGGCGCGTGACTGCCCAGCACCAGCTCCGAAGACCAGAACTACGCAGCCTCAGGGAAACGAGGAGGGAGCGGTGTAGCGAGGGGACCACCGCTCCAGCTTCCTGCCCCCCTCCAAGGACGATGCACGGTGGTGGGCCGAGTTGGGCACCTCAAGGGACTCTACCTGAGCTGCTGTGTTGAGGACCAGCCATGCCAGGCCCTGGTGGACACGGGGTCTACCATTTCCCTGATACGACCTGGCCTTCTCCCTGGAACATCCGGGCCACTGGTGAAGGGTTGGTTGCCCATAGACACCCAGCTGATGACAGTGACGGGGGAGAAAACTGTTATGCGGGGGAAGAAATCGTTGGGAATCCAAGTGAAGGATCTGGAGCTGGTGCACGACTTCTGGCTCGTCGACATTCAAGACCGGTGCATCATTGGCCTGGATCTGCTGAGCCGCTGGGGGGCCTGCGTCGACATCGCGAAGCTGGCTATCACTCTTGGCGCAGAGACTTTTGCCCTCCAGCGCGGCCAAAAGCAGGGAGCGGAGGGGACCAGACGAGACAGGCGTCGGGCAGCTGCCGCTCAGCAGTTTTCGGATGCCGGTGGCTCCAGGTCATCTCCACTCGCCTCAGCCTCAGCCTCTCAGCCCGACAAACCTCCTTCGACCGAGACCATCGAGGCTACTGATGACCTTTGGCAGCGCAGCAGCGTAGTCCTCAACGTCGACCAGCGCCAGCGGTTGAGGTGCCTCCTGGATGAGAATGTGGACATCTCTGCCGCCAGTGACAAAGACTGTAGGCAGATGAGTCTGGTCCAGCACACCATCGACACCGGCTCTGCTCAGCCCATCCGTCTGTGCCCACACCGGCTGTCCCTCTCAAAACGGCAGGTAGCGGAAGAGAAGATCCATCAGATGGCAGTGGCTGGGGTGATCGAGCCGTCCAATAGCCCTTGGGCGGCACCTGTGGTTCTGGTGGGGAAGAAGGATGGCAGCCCGAGGTTCTTCGTGGACTATCGCCGTCTCAATGCAGTCACCAAGAAGGACTCGTACCCGCTTCCACGGATCGACGAGGCCCTAGATTACGTTACCGGTTCCTGCTGGTTCAGCTCCCTCGACCTACGCAGTGGTTACTGGCAGGTGGATCTAGCCCCCGAAGCAAGGCCTAAGACTGCATTCACCATTGGACAGGGCCTGTGGTAGTTCAGGGTCATGCCATTTGGGCTCTGCAATACGCCAGCAACGTTTGAGAGGCTGATGGAGAGGGTGCTCGTGGATATCCCTCGTAGCCGCTGCGTTGTGTACCTGGATGACCTGTTGGTGCACGGTGGCTACTTTGACAGTGTACTGTCTCACCTGAGCGAGGTCTTGAGTGCCATCCAACGAGTTGGGCTGCGGCTCAACCCCGCGAAATGCCGGCTGTTGGTGAGAGAGACCCCGTTCTTGGGCCATGTGATCAGCGCTCGAGGTGTCGCCACTGACCCCGCAAAAGTGGCTGCGGTCCGGGACTGGCTGACTCCCTCGAATGTCCAAGAACTGCGGAGCTTCCTGGGCCTAGCCTCCTACTACCATTGGTTCATCAAGGGGTTCACGACGATGGCCAGCCCCCTCCACCGCCTGACTGACAAGGGACAACTGTTTGGCTGGGGGGATGCCTGTGCTGCGGCTTTTGCACAGCTGAAGGAGGCCCTCACCAGAGTCCCAGTCCTGGCCTACCCCCACGCCCGGCAACCTTTCATTGTGGACACTGATGCTAGCAATGTAGGAGTCGGGGCGGTCTTTTCCCAGCAGGACGAGGCTGGAGAATGGGTGGTGTCATACTTCAGTCGTGCCTTGGGGCGAGCCGAGAGGAACTACTGCGTGACCCGGCGGGAGCTGCTGGCCGTAGTGCTAGCGGTGC